CAAGGCCTCCCCTGAGCGCCTCGGCTTCTCCTGCTGGGAACCCTGCTTTCTTCTCCAGCCTGGAGTCTGGCACCCCAGCCACTCCACAGACTCTCCACACACACCCACACGTACCCTTCTCCCTGCCCACTCTGCCCAAACAGGTCTTCATGCCGGAGGACCCAGCTCACGCGCCTGCTCACCTGTGAGATACTGCACGCTCAGACAACCACCCCCCCGCAAAGCAGACCAGACCTCCCCGTCCGTTCTGCCTCCCCGGGGCCTGACTGGTTTACATCCTGTCTGTGTAGAGCAGCGCTACTCCAACTTGAGGGTGATGAGCACCACCAGCCAGCCCATGAAATCACCCATGGCCGGGCTGCCCTGGCCAGGGGCACCAGGCACAGAACATACATGTCCAACAGGTTTCCAGGCTGACACTGGTAACGCACACAAGCCACACTGGTGGGTAGCCGTGTCCCTAGCCAGCAAGGGTTTTGAGGATGGACCCTATTTTATTCATGTTTGAATCATCACAGCCTAACACACCCTCAGGAACTCTGGGAACAGAGTAGAAACTCAATACTTGCTGTTTGTGGTTGATCCAGATCATTTTCCTCTTTTAAGCCCATCACCGTAAATATCAGACAATGAAGGGGAATTAAGTGAGGAGAGGAGACCTGACTGCAGGAACTACTGAGGCCAAAACAGAAAACTAAGTAGCTCTCCACAGGGCTAATGTCCTCTGGCCACATGCCCAAACCCATCCTGAGCTGGGAGAACTGGGAAGACACAGGGTGAAGAGAAGATTGTTCAAGTCGGAATCTAAGGGTACAGCCTGGAGGCTGTGTCAACAGCGGGGATGTTAGGTAGAGGACCCTCCCCCCAACAGAGGCCAATATACCATCCACTTTAAAAACAAGCTTCTATATGTTGAAGTTTGCTAATATGTATCATTAACATTGCATATTTTGTTACTAGTGATAAACATTTATTGAGCACCTACTATTTCCTGGGACTATAAAGAGAGATAAAATCTCAATCTCAAGGGACTTTAAATTAATTGGGAATTCAGCCTATTAACTCAGCAAGATAACTAACTGACAGTGTAAGGTAATACTAAGTGTCAAATGTAAACCACACCAGAGGTAAACAGTAAAAGCCACAGGAGTCCACCTGTCCTTAGACTTGCCCACCTCTGTGGGTATACAGCACGTGCGTACTTAGGTGGGTCCTTTGTCTTCTCTGCTAGTATCTAAGCTCTTCCAGGGCAGGCAATTTGATTTTTCTCACCCTTGTATTTCTATCACCTGGCCAGGTACCTGGCACTAATACAGCTAAATAAATATTTAATCGCTTAATAATGACTGGGGAATGTGAGCTGAGCTTTTAACAAAGGGCAAGACTTAGGTAAGAAGAGGACTGAGGGTTGGGTTTTCCAAAAATAGACAAGGGAACCAACCAGGCGACTAAAAGCTCCAAGCAGGTAAGGAAACCTTGTGGTCCAAGGCCCCAAGGAATAATCAAAACCCGCTGCTGGGGCCACCGTCGGTCTAGAGCGCCAGGCCTTGAGAGCCAGTCTTCCTCACCCAGCCTTTCAAACTGTCACACAAGCTTCCATTAAGAATTCTGAATTTCTGTTGCTTTTATATCAATATCATTTCTGGGATTTTTCTGCCTGGTTTATTTTTCCCTTACCCCTTTTTCTGCTGATTAAATTAGGGGGGGGGAATGAAATCCACACAAAGAATCCTAGTTTAACACTGAATTGATACTTTATACAAACACACACACATACTTTATGTAAGTTTTTGGGTGCCAGTCAGCAAAAATAGCCTTAGTTCCCAGAGGTCCCCATCACCAAACTGGAAATTCCTTGAAACCAGAAAACAGTTTCTTTCTTAGCTTTGACAGCTCCTAGGATATGACCAGGCACCACACAAATCAGTAATATCAACAATACTGCGTCCTGGTAGCTGAGTCAATCTTGCAAATTTGGAAGTCTATGTATGGCTGGTTTGTAGACAGGTCACGTCATACCACAACCAAAACAAACTGGAGAGGGCATGAGTAGATGATTTAAACAAAAAACAAAACTAAACACTCACCCTCTGTTCCCTGATTTCTCCTAAATGGGAAAGAAAAGTTCTTACCTAATTTATCCCCACAAGCGAAGCTTTGTATCTGAATAAGTTTCTAATTGCCAGAGCTTCACATTTGCTAGGCAGACAGGGATTCACTATTTTAGAAATGCCATTTTCCACAAGCTAATCTGTGAGGCACCCGTGGAGGCCCTAAGTCGTCGTGCATTCCCTTTACTCTGTGTGAATTGCTGTGCTCTCTTTCTTCTAATTAAGGAAGAAGAAATCATATTTAACACCTTTAGGAGGATGTCTGACTACTGAAGATCCCTGGAGACTAAAACCATAGACTTTTCTGCAGCATTGACACAATTTCACACAGTTTTCCCCCAGGAATTAACAGATAAGTGAAAGAATCAAATGGAAAATAATTTTAAAAAGTTACTCATTTATGTAGTAGAAAGCTCAATGGATAGTTCAGTTTTTGCAAATAATAATCTACTTGACATGGGGACACCTAGAAGCCACAGGCATTCTAACAAGTGCAATCAATTCATAAATTACAAATAACAAAAAGAATTAAATGTCTTAAAGAGGCATATGAAGAACTCTTTGGGCAACCTGAAGAATATGTCTTATCATGCTTAGTATATTGCAGTATATAAAACGTCACTCTTTAATGGGGCAGGGGCAAATATTTGCCAAGGACTGTGCTGTTGGCCTCAGCCTGACCTCTGGGTCTGGCTCTACCTTCCTCTTTGAGTTCTGCACCTAGAGGTGAGCCCCTTCAGACTGCACCAGCCAGGCACCCCAGGCCAGCCAGCCTTGGATGGGGTCTGACCACTGAGGGGTGCTAATGAGATGGCAGGGCTGCAGGTGGGGACAAGAACTGAGCTGCTCCCCCTGCATGGGGCAGGGGTTAGGTGCAGCTCTCACTGGACCCTTGACACCCAGGTCTTCTGAATGCTGCCCGCACACCTCTAAGTAGTTCATTAAAGGTTCTTCATTGCACCCCACTGAGGTGAATTCCATTTTCTGCCAGGACCTATCTGATACAAGGACTTTTTGGATGTAGGATGGTTTATGTCTCTATAAAATTTCTCAACTTCAAAATGTAGGTCTTATCACCTGCTCCCATTTATGCATGAGGTGGCTGGGGCTCTGAGAGGGTGGCAGAGTGCCCGTCAGGGGACACAGCAGCGGTCACAAAGGAATCACAGCCAGGTCAGTCTGACATCTAAGACCTTAAAAAGCCTCTGAAAGTGTGAGGGAGAAAAACACAACAGGCTTCCAAACTCTCAAGCCACAACTGAGCCTCAAACCACATCATTAATGGCTGGGGATTTTCCCTGGGCCTAAAATAAGCCGGCCGGGCATGGCTCTGTACCTGCTCCTCCCACCGGGAGCGTTAGGGTGCTGGAACTGTTCTAAGAACAAAGAGCCCACGGGTGCTTCTTCCCGGCCTGCCACCCACACTTTCCCTTCAGTTCATCTCAGAATCCCTCTCTCCCAGCCTTAAACATCCATCCCTAGGGCTCTTTGGTTCTTTTTTATAAATTAAAACCAGGTTACGTCTGACCTCGGTCCAGACTGGGGCTGTGGGTGGATGTAGTTAAACAGCACTTAAGGTCACACAAGCACCTCCCTGCCGTAACTCACCAGGGTCCCCTCACCATCTCTATCCACACAAGAGCCTCCTCCCTGGATTCCTCTTTCCAGCTGCGCAGAATAGCTGAAAACAGCAAATGCAATTAAAATCAATACTGTTGCGGGCTGGAGGGGTAAGTACAAAACAAACTCCCCTGCAGGAATCTGCCCTGTGCCCTGTGAGTTTGGGGGCCAGAGCACTTGCTCTCCCTGCCTTTGCCCAGGTCCCTGGTCTCTCCCATCCTCAGCACCACCTGAGGAGCAGGTTACAGAAGCTTGGGTGGCATCTGGTCCCTCTCCCAGTCTCCCGGCCTTCGGGGTTTGGCAGCTGATGAGAAGGCCGCGGTCAGACCGGGTGGGGTTCTGAATCGGCTCCGCAGAGGGAGCCCGGTGGGAGGGCGGCTCGGTAAACAGTATCCGAGTAAGGCAAACGTCCAGGTCTCACTTCCTCATTGCTGAAGGAATGTGGGTGGAAAGGACAACAGGTATGCTGTTGTTTGAAAAAAAAAAAAAAAAAGAAGAAGAAAAAGCTCGCTAGTGAGAGGCAGAGGAAGAAACCCGGGCAAAACTCAGCACGGACCCAAACGGCCAGCAGTGGGCCCCGCGGACCCTCCGGGTTCATTGAAACCAGCCTGTATTTATGCACCCGCTACCCAACACGCCGGTCTAGCCTGCAGCACCTACGGCGACGAGGGAGGGAGGAGGGCAGCCCCGCCCCTCAGGCAGCTCCCTTACCAGGGGTCCCCGCTCCTTATGTGGCCATTTTCAATTTTAATGGGAGCAGGCCATTCCTGGACAGTGTAATTCCAACAGAGCCCCGGTTCCCCGGTAACCTGTCCTGCTCAGGAGCCAGGAACCTCAGGGACAAGCCGACTGCGCGAGCTGCACCACCGAGGGCGCCGGGTCCCTGGGGGCCGCCTCCCTGTCCGAGGCACACACAGCACACAGGCGCCAAGGAACTGCCCCCGGGCTGCGCGCCTCGCTGCCCGCCTCCCCCGCGGGGCCCCCACTCCGAAGCCACCGGCTGCAGCCTGCCGACTGTCAGGCTCGCGGGGCAGGGCCATGCGAATTAAAAAGAATCAAGGCGACTACACTGTGGCAGAAATACTTGGCGCATCGACCCGTGACAGGAAACGAGGCGACCCCACAGTTGACGGCAAGAGAAGTTCGTGCGAGCCCGGCGTGCGGGCAACGCCAGTGTCTTGGCACGTGCAGGCGAGAGAGCCACCCGCCAGGACCCCAAGCCACCTGCCGGGGCGCGGGGGAGGCCCCGCCGTGGGGCGCCGCGCCTACCTGGTCCAGCGGGATGCCCAGGAGCTCGCTGAGCGGGCGCAGGCAGGTGGAGCCCGTGGTGCGGCACGCGGCGCTGGCCGGCGGCGGCGCTGCCATCGCGCATCTTCGGGCAGCCGCCCGCCCCGCTCGGCCTGCCGCGCGAGTGCCGTGGGGCGGCAGGGCCGCGGGCGGCGGGCCACCGGGCGGGGCCGCGGGCGCGCGCAGGCGCCCTCCTCCCGGCGCTCATTGGCCGGGCGCGCGGCGGCGGGGCGGAGGGAGGTGCGGCCCGGGGCCGGACCGCCCAGCCTGCGGAGCCGCGAGCCGAGTGCCAGGCGACCCGGGCGGACGCCCGCCCGGCCCTGCGGCTGCTGCAAGGGCCCGGCCGAGGCCTCCGCGCCCCCACCGCCAGCGCGGGCTGCGCCCCCCACCCCCTGGCCAGGCGGGCGCCGTGCACGAGCGGGCCCTCCGCGTGCCCGCGCGGCCCCTCTGCGCGCCCCTGGGGTCCGGGCGGAAGGGTTAGCCTGCCAGTAGCTGCGGGCCAGCGCGCCCACCCAGGCTCCCTGTGCGTCTCTCCAAGCAACGCGGTTCCCTGCGTCCTGAGCTGCGTCCCGCCGGCAAACACAGTGGGCTGCTAGCTTCTGGTCCTGGGCGTCCATTCCTTTGGGCTGCGCCCTGGTTCACCCCTGTAAGAAAATGGTGCTGGTGTGCGCTTCGGATCAGTTCTTTTGCATACACCGTTCTCAAAGGGGTGCCCGTCCCGTCCACCTCCTCTCTGTCCCCAGACACAGACGAGCATCTGACGGGCACTTGGAAAACTGCCAGCTGAGAAAGAGGTTCTGAGAATCCTAAGAGGCCTGAAGGCCCTTCCCAGGAGCTGCTGACTGCCAGCTGGGAAGGCTGCCAGGGGGGCAGCGCCCTGAGCTGACCGGTAGGAAACCGAGGAGGAGTGAGCGCAGGGAAGCTTTGGGCCCAGCGCTTTACCCTGGCGCTGTGCTGAGCGAAGGATTAACAGTTGAGGGAGAATCCAAACAGGTGGGCAGCGACTTGTAGGCAGATCGCACATTGTTATCGATGAGCTTCAAACGCATCTGAAGGCTGCCCGACCCTGGACACAGGTTCCCTCCAGGGCTCAGGCCTCACGCGGTCGTCCGGAGAACGAGCTGCACTGAACTTGAAACTGCCAGGCCAGAGTTTTTCAACCCATGTCCTCGGTCGAGGGGCAAAAAAATGTCCCTACCCACTCCTGCTGTCCCCATGAGATTTTATAGGAGGCCACCACCACCATATCTGCTTAATTCACACCACACACGCGCACATACGCAGTCACATGGGCGCGTGCAGGAGAATCAGCTTAGGCTAGACAGGCTCCTTGATACCACATAGTTCTGGAAAATGACCGGGACTGAAGCAATGTTCCTCTTACCATGAGCAAGACAACAGCGCAATGAGATGTGTGGGGGCAGAAGGAGCTTGAAAGCACTGTTAACAAAAAAACAGAACACTTTGATGTGAACTGCCGGAAAAGGAAAGACCAATTGGGCAGTATTTATGAAGCAAATGCTCAGACCATAATCGTTCACAAAGCTATGCTCTTCAGACTTCAGAAAATTGTCTTCACATTGGCACAGATGAGCCCTGTACTTATTGTTTTCTGCTCAACAAAATCCAGATTATAATCTCATCTAAAATTTCCCCTTGAAAGTGCAGTAACTACGCTTAGATCTTGAAAACAAAACGTCACAGAAATTAAATCTTAGTAGTTCTGTTCGGCTGATACTGTAGTACAATTAATGCTGAAAGAACTCAGCAGAGAATGCAGGATCAAGAGAATGGAACAGCAGCGCTGCAAATCAATTCAACAGGCTTCTGGAGGATGGGACATGGTTGCAAGGCGCACAGGAGCTGCCCCACGGACAGGGAGCTCTTTCCGTCCCTTCATCCATTTCCCTTCTCTGCCAGCTGTAGATTCATAATAATAATTGTGACACAACATCCCAAAACATGTCTCATACACCAGTGACAATACCCCTGTGATAGTTACTAAAACTTCTATCGTACAGATGAGAAAACTGGAGTTTAGAGAGTTTAACTATCTTGATTGTGTTTCTGGGTCGTGTTTAAATAAAACACGTCTGATTCCAGAGCCTCGGCTCTCAGTCATTATGCTGCATGTCCTCCTCTAAGCAAAGCACTTGTCCCTTTATCAAGAGGCCTGTCCGCACACCGGGTACAGGCCCATGACCCAGGAGAACAGGGTTTACTGCTGCGAAATGAGGTGGCAGGAGCCACGCTACAGACACTCTGTCTCTCCCGTGTCTGTGAGCAGGAGCGTGAGGCTCGGTATCAAAGTCAGGTTTTAATCTTTCTCTGAAGTCCTCAGAAGGCCCAGGGCTCATCCTGATGACTGGTCTGCAATTAAAGGCCAGACAAAAAAGATGTGAACAAGATTCTGGCACGTTTCAGGAAGGCAGCATGATCCTAGGAACTGTGAAAACTCAGCATGAGTCATGTGCCAGCCCAGACCCAGCCGAAGATTCTCAGACAGCAAAACTGAATTAAAACAGTCCTCACAGTTTACAAAGCTATAGCCCCTCTAATGATACATTCAATGCAGATTCAGCAAAGATAATCACCAACAAAACCAAAGGAAAACCTCCACAGTGATATAACCCATGTAAAAAAAATGACCATCTACTAATACTAATATTTGTGCAATGATATTGGATGTTCAGAGAGCAGATTCATTTCCATCTTCCTCTTTGATCCTCCCAACACCTCAAGGACACTGGAAAGGTAGGGAGGGGTCATTACCATTTTTATTTTATTACTATGTCCTCATCATTTCGATTTTTATTCATAAGATACTGATTTCTGGTCATTTGCAGCCAGTTTATACAGCTGTTAAACAGCAAATGCAGAATTCATTCGTGGCTTTTCCATTGTTCTGCTTATTATGCAGAAACTTTAAACTATACCAGGCATTCACCTTCAGGAAAACAGCAGAAATTGTTGCCTGCATAGGACATTAAACTCCATGCTTAGTATTTGGGAGTTACTCGGTAAAATAGCCTAAATTGGCCCACAATGGGTATCACTCTTATTTTTTAAGCAGTTTCTTTAAGCATTAACCACAAACCTTAGGCAATTTACATTTTGCAATCAGTGCTCCATTTCTTCACATCTTAGCCCCAACCAGTGTACATGTGCTTGGAATGTATATTGCTGCCTACCTTCCGAACCTATTTTCTAAGCTGGAGACCACAGCTGAACACTGCTTTTATATTTGTACATGTTGAGAAAAATGAGGAAATCGGTGTAACTGAGTGCCTACCAAATTTAATTATTACTGCTGAGTATTTTTCCCTAAAAATACTGTATCATTTAGTTATTCAAGAGAAATCAACATGAACCATCTTAGCCTACTAACCTCTGTACATATGTTAGGGACATGCTAATATGTCCAAAGACAAATGAATCCAAAATAATCTTCCAACCTCTGAAAGAAACCATCAGTTGTGAGAAATACAAAGCAGAAATTAGTCACTGATAAGTGAATGTAGAAATAAAGCCTAACAAATCTCCATTAACTAAAAACGCTCAGAATAATATTTTTAAATACGACTGTACAACTTCTAAGTGGTCAGGACTGGAACCTAACACCTAGAAGAGGAACAGACAATGAAAATGTAATGAACACACTGTAGAGAAACAAAAACCAAACAAGCAAAAAGACTGGCTCTGAAAACCAGTACTGCCTTTTACCGGTTTTGTGACTCTGAGCAAGTCAATTAACTTCATCAAGCCTAAGCTTCCCCCCTGTAAAGTGGGAATAAGAATTACAATCTCTTATTGCTGGCATCAGGGCTAAAGGAAAGATTATGTGTGAAATAACCCATCACAAAGTAATTGTTCAAAAAATATTAACTAACTCTCCCTAGCCGAAGTTTACCCTTCATGAGCGAATATTTTATTTTAACTTCAGTCTTTTAGGAAGATGCTCCTAAAATGCATCCCTGTGTACTTAAATGGAGTTAATGATCACAACTGAATTTCTACTGATGAATCAGGCATTGCTGGGAACAAGAACCCACACCATAGCCCTGTGATGTCTGGGAGTCCATTGACAACGTCAAGTTTGTCCCTGCACTAAACGATCCCGAAGAGGCCAACATTCTCCATGACTGTGTCTACTTTCTAGAGCTTGTCAGTCTCTTCTCCTGCTCTCATATTTCAGCTGTCGCTGACTAGCCTGCTGTTTTGGTTCTCCTCTGATCTGAGGAATTCTGTAGATGGCTTGGAATCACTAGGACTTGACTTTGGCTAAGTGCCTAGGAGTTCTTGAAGAAGTGAGGTATTTCAGTTTTAAGTAAACTCCATGCTGCCTGTCTAGGATATTCAGAGGCTTTTCTTCCCTCACTTCCTGCTTCTTTGGCTCTGTTCCAAAGTTACTCTTGCCAAAGAAGCGTCCTATGAATGATAAAGTGTGATTGAAGATAATGTTTGAGGATATATACTGTTAGGCAAAAACCTCTTTGCTTATGCTGCCAGATTCTCTGGACGGCTGCGGTAAACAAAGAAATCGAGGTCAGCCTAGCCTGATGCTGCTGAAGCCTTTGGGTGCCCTGAGATGCTTGGTCCCCGCCCGCCCCTCCCCTGCTCCAACCCCTCTGTCACCTTAGGTTCCAGGGAGCATTGAGCATTAGCCTTTAACACCAGACCTTGTATTCAACTTGTGAGCCACTTGAAATCTCCCTCGACTCCTGTACTTTTACCTGACCCCTCACTCAGCCTCTGCAGCCTGGGCCAGCGTCAGCGCTGAGCACAGCGATGTTTTGAAATGGATGGATGACTGGCTCCCTGGGAAGCAGTGCAGCCAAGGGGATTCCCGACTCTCCTCTCTTCTGAGTCCTCACGATCCAGCTTGTTGTTCACAGCCTGTGTGGCCTTGAGTCAGCACGTTAAGCTCCCGGCCCTGAACCCTGAGCGTCCGGGAAGTCTGTTATTTATAGGACCAAAGTAGGTACTTGCTTCTGTTCCCCTGGACCTTTTCCTAATGTGCCCTTTCTGCAGTGTTCATGTCTAAACAGTTTTCCATCATTATTGGTCAAATCTCTCACAGTGTCCTGTAAACAGCTGAGATGGTCACAGCAGAACACTAGCGGTCCTCGTGTCAATCGCCAG